TTTTTAATAAAACAATTATTTCACACACGCTTGTTGGATATGGGGTGATTATAGCTAACTCGACGATACAAGCCTTGTTGGTTATGTACCATGTCATATCCACTGCATGCTTGTGGGATAATTGTCAATTATTTATTGAATTCAAGAGTTTCACTGGCTTAGCCAGCATGGTATATGAGTGACTATACCATGTTAAGCCTGGGCATGATTTCTAGGGGCATTTTTCTATTTTTATTGTATTTCAATTTTCTATATAATTTTGGGGGCATTTTAAATAAGGCAATTATTTGACTTGTGCTTGTTGGATATGAGATGATTTGTCAAAACATGTTCAGGCAGAAGAGTGTGAGTTAACTACAGCACTCCAAACTATTCTTAAAGCATTCTATTGATTTATATGTAATCTTTTTTATGTCAAGTGTAAGTAAAACGAATATTGTAAGCTACGTCAGTATTGTGAGTAATATCGGTGGTGTAAGGCCAAGTTCAGACGTCGTACTTCACATGAGCCGAATCAAATGCAAATGAGAAAAATTCTTTGTTCTCCCTCATTAGCATTCAATTCGGCTCATGTGAAGTACGGCATTTGAACAGGGCATAAGTTACGCTAGTATTGTGAGTAGTATTAGTAGCAGGGCCCCTTTAGATACCAGCCTATGGCTGGGGCTACCCTCCCTAAATAAAGATGACTTGACTTGACTAGTAGTGTAAGTAATGGTTGTATTCTAAGTAATGTCAGTAGTGGTGTAAGGGATATTAGTATTGTAAGTAATGTAAGTACTGTATAGTGTAAGTAATGTTAGTATTGTATGTAATTGACTTATGATTAAAAAATAAATAAATAAATAAAAAAATACAGCACTCCAAGCTGCGACTGGCATTTTGGTTGCTGTGGCGAGGGAAATTGCAAACATGTGGGAACTAAGTTTTATGAACAAGTTGCCAATTTGGCAACTCATGCAGAACAAACGGCTGACTGCTCAATAACAAGGTTTTTTGTAATCATTAGTATAATCAGTAAGCTGCCAACCGATACAATCACAATTTTCTGTCTTCTTTACACGATTTTTTTTTCTTCTATTTACTTTCCTGAGGGTGTCTGGAAAACCTGAATAGCGAATAGCGAACAGCAAATAGTCCCGAATAGCGAATAGCGAATAGTACAAATAGTGCAAATAGTCTCGAATAGTGACGCATAGTGGCAAGTAGTGGCAAATAGTGGAAAATAGTGGCAAATCGCAGCAAATAGCAGGGTACCTAGTATCTCGCAGTCAACCTCGCAGCAACTTAGGATGGGATTTTCCCGCTAAAAAGCACAGACGCTTATCAGGACAAAAGGTGTTCCCAAGGGCCTGATTACATGGCGAATTTCAGCCTGGCTTCTGAAACAAATTCTCATGAAATCAAATTGGCGATTATATGGAGAAAGATTCAGCCCGGGCCGCAATTCAGCCCGGGTTGAAAATCCTAGCCCGGTTTTTCAAACCGGGCTAGGATTTTCAGTCTGAAGTCTGAAAAAATCCCATGTAATCGAAACGGAATTTCAGCCCG